CGGTTGTTTCGGGGCGGGGGGGGGCACTCAAGGAAATCCACAGAGGGATGAATTAAGACAGGGAGTTATGAATTTGGTGGGCCCTTAACACTTTCTGGCTTGTGTGCAGTTATTTATTGCAGTTGCAGCTCCCGTCTGGCTAGCATTTTGCACATGACAGGCCCAGTACGAGGCTCCTTCGCCTTCGCACAGTTACCCATTTAATTCTCACAACAGCCTCCAAAGGGTTATCGTTTGTTTATGTGGCTTGTCGCAGGTTCTAACTTGAAAGCTCCCCTGGGGCTGGATTGTTTGCCTTGTCCCTTTCATCCTTGCCTCCCTAAGCCCAGGAGGTACACCGCTGGAGCTTCAAACATTTTTTAATTGGGAGAAGGCGAGGTTTACTGGGTGGGAGGTTTTAACCAGATTTTGGCAAGGTGTTTCCAGGGGGTTGGAAAATTAAATGGAGTTACCTTCCTCATTTTTGTTTTGCTTTGTTTTGTTTGGAATTTACTGAATACCTAAGCAGTGTTAGCTTGTCTGCTCAAGGGAAGAATAAGGAACAAGCCCTGCTTTTGATAGTAAAGTAAACGTACTTAACGCTCCTTGTGTCTGGAGTCAAGTATGCCCTGGTTTGGGAAAGGAAAAGCAACAATCCCTTAACAGGTGCATAGCACTCAGCCCCTCTGCGTCCCTTTCCTGCTCTGAACAATGGGAATAGTAATAGTACTTAGGGCGCTGTTGGGATTAAGTGAGTTTGAATAGTCTATCCTGTCACCAGTGGTTGGCAACTTTGGATACATGTTGAAATCACCTGGGTCCCACCCCAGAATTTCTGATGTAATTGCAGGTAAGTTCTGAGGATTAGGAGTTTTAAGATTTCCTCAGGTGATTGTAAGGGCAACCAAGCTTGAGAGCCACTGTTGTATACCACCCCAAGTTAATTAATCTCTTTTCAGTTCTCATTCCCTGCTTAAGCGTCTGGGCTGACTCCAAGTCTAAACCAGCCTTTGTATTCCAAACCCCTTGACAATTGGCCCAGTCATTCCTATACATACATGTGTGCTTCAGACATCGGTCCTCTTTAAGGCCAGTCTTCTTACAGTGCTATGTCTTCATGCAATGGGGCTTTGGGCAAATGATTGGCCCTCTCTAGGCCTCAGTTTCCTTGCCTTTGAAAGAGGTTAGTAGTATGTGTGTGTAGCATATGGTACAGTCCATGCCTGGAGCGTCGTACCTACCAATGATGATTACCTCTTTGAATTTTATTCACATTCCACATCTTACGTTATGCTGTTCTCCTATCATGGCATTAAAGAAACATATCTTAAATGCCTATTACAGATGTGGAGAATAGTGAATTCAGTCCTGTCTCCCCTGCTTTGCCTTTCAAGTTCAGCACAAGACAACTCCTTCAAAAAACCATGAAACTAGAGATCATTTGGTTTGTCCTATTGAATTTTTTAAATAACAGCTTTATTGAGAGACCATTCACATACCGTAAAACTCACCCTTGTAAAACGTACAATTCGGTGATTTTAGTATATTCACAGTTGGGCAGCCATCACCACCACTGCAATCCAGTTTTAAAACATTTTCATCACCCTCAAAATTAATCTGTATCTATTTGCAGTCGCTCTCCATTTCTCCCTTCCTTCAGCGCCTGGCGATCACTAATCCACTTTGTATCTCTATGCATTTGCTGTTGTGGACATTTCATATTAATGGTCTCTTAAAATATGTGGTCTTTTGTGACAGCTTTCGCTTAGGGTAATGCTTTCAAGCTTCATACACACACTGTAGCATGTATCAGCACTTCGTTCCTTTATTGCTGGTAATCCATTATTTATGGATACACCACATTTTGTTAATCCATTCATCTGTTGATGGACATTTGGGTTGTTACCACTTTTTTTTTTTGGCTATTATGAATCACTGTAAACATTCAGGTATAGATTTTTGCATGAACATGTTTTTAGTTTTTTTATATCTGTACCAAGAAATGGAATTGCTGGATCATATGGGTATTCTGTGTTTAACAATTGAGTGACTTCCAGACTTTTCCAGTCCTGTTCAATTTGAAGATGAAGAAACAGGGTTCAGAGAGCTTATGTGGGTTGTGCATGGTCACATGATAATAACGGCGGGTTTGCATATGTAGGAGGCCCATGAGCCGGATTCTTGAAGCCTTTTCTGCCACATGGGCAGAGGTAACACCAGATCACAGACTTTGAGGTTTTGTGGAAAACTGGGAATGTTTTGTGGCAGGAACATTTCTGTCACACACACTTGGGTTGGAATACAGAGTGCCTTCAAGTGTCCTAGCTCATTCTTGCTTTTTTTTTAAAGAGTATAGCAGTAATCTGAGGGAAAATTCCAAACCAGGCAATTAAAATATAACTTGTTCAAGAGAATTTAATTGGAAGTTCTTGAAGTTAGCCATTTAACATTTTCTCTTTTTTAAAAAATTCCAAATGTTAGTATTTAATTCACAAGTTAAATACTAACCAGAAGTTAAGTTATAAAGTGAAAAACCTCATGAAAGTCCAACTTTTTCCTGGAAATGCCTAGAAAGTTTCTCACTAGATTCCAACATCCTGCCTCAAAAAAGCCAACACAGCATTGTTTAAATTTTAGAATAAATTGCTGTTTCTTCTTCTTCTTTTTTATTGCGGTTTCTTCTGTTGAATACCAAATGTGATCATTGGCTTGGATTAAGGGATAAGTCGGCAAGTGAAAATTTAGTTAAAATGCTCTTGGAAGAAAATCTAATTGTCCATTAACATGCGACATACATGGTTTTGTTGTGAATGCTTCACAGCAATGTGTGTGTGTGTGTGTATAGAATCATGCTCAGTATGTAATTCCATTGAGGGATCTTATTTAAAAATTATTCTAGTGTTTTGCTGCTTAGCATACTTTTTTTTTTAAGATTTTATTTATTTATTTGGGAGAGAGAGAGAGAATGAGAGAGAGCACAAGAGGGAAGAAGGTCAGAGGGAGAAGCAGACTCCCTGCCGAGCAGAGAGTCCGATGCAGGACTTGATCCCGGGACTCCAGGATCATGACCTGAGCCAAAGGCAGTCGCTTAACCAACTGAGCCACCCAGGCGCCCGCTGCTTAGCATACTTGGTTAATTCTATGAAGGTTCCAACTTGCTGATTCTTATTTTTCATAGTTATCTTTGTAATTGATTTACCAATTTCTATAACTCTCCCTTGGTCTGTGTTTTCCTTTGTCCTCATCTAATTCCTCAATTTCTTTGAGAGGGCGGATAAAGGTATCATCACACACTGGACAAGGCGTTCAATTTCTTTTTAATGGTCACGAACCCATAAAACCACTTATCTTCCACAGTTTCGGCCACTGTCACTGTCTGTTTCAGGCTTGGTTTCATCCATTGCCCAATGGATGCTCGTATTAAGTGCAGGAGGCATTATAATAAGCAGTCTTACTTTTTTCTCTGGATCCATGTAGATGAAACATGTGATAGGGCTCCACTGTATTTTCAAGCACCAGATCTGCTCTCCGCTTAAATCAAGCCGGGTCCAGGACAAAGGGAGCAGCAGGTTCAAGTCTCCTCTCTCATTCCAGGGCGTCTGTTGGGAGAGTGGAGTGCCTGGCCCAGACTCTTGCACTGTTTACATTTTCCCCCCTTGCATGTGGTTGAGTTAGTCCTAAGTTAGATATGTGTGCTGTGGCTCTGTTTCTTTATCACACAGTGCACTCAACTTCATTTCCTTCCTTTAGCCATTATGAAATTGCAGCCTGTTGTGTTACCTTCAATTTGCTTTCATGTGTGTTATGTGCTTGTTTTGTCTCCTCAGATTGAGTATAAGGCCTGGAAGGGAGAGGTAGTGACTTTGGCTTCCTTTACTTCCTCAGAATGCTGAGTGCACACTGGCGCAGGACTGAGACAAGGACAGTCTTGTCTAAGTAATTCCATAATTATCTGGAACCCTTTAGCTCCTAACCTTGAGAAATAGTGGGCCTTCAGACAAAGGGGGACAGTTGCTGCCTGTGCTTGCAGCAGAACCCAGCGAGAAGAGTGTAACAGGCTTTGGAATTCAGCAGACCTGGGATCATCTGAATGGGCCTTTCACAGACTCTCTCTGACCTGAACCTGTTTTCCTCATCTGTAAACCAGAGTTGGTAGTGCCCACCCCATAATAGTAAAGCAAATACACAGATGATGCTCATTATGTACCTGGTACTCTTCTAGGTCCTTTAGGGGGTCTTAACTCTAAGATAGAGTCTGTTTTTAATCCTTACTTTGCAAATGAGGAAACCAAAGCACTGAGAGATTAAGCAACTTTTGCCCCAAATCACACACATAGTAAAGCCAATTCAGTCCTGGCACTCTGGCTTTAGAGTTCCTGCTCTTTGCCACTTATATTTCGTGGTACATAACAGACCCTGAAATGATAACTGTTTCTGTCATTGTTGTTACTTATTAATTTACCTTAAAAATTAGAAGATGATTGACCTAATGTTTAGAATGTATTTTAAGGTCCTTTTTTGGAAAAAAAAAAAAAAAATACTAGATTTAATTCTTTGAGAAACAGTGTCTCTTTTGGCTTTATCTTTATATCACCAGCACCTCTGATTATCACCAGGCCCTGGTACGTAGTCAGTAAATGTCTGTTGTCTGAGTGAAAGAATGGGAATAATCCTAATAAACGGGAATCCTATTGTGCTTGCTATTAGACTTTTGCATCGCATTATGACTTTGGACATGCCACTAGGCCTCAGTCTTGTCCACTATAATCAGAAATATTGCCACTGACTTCTTGGGCATGGTTTTGGGAATTGAGATATTTTAGGTGGTTGCGATTTGTAGTGCTTGTACAAAATGTTCTCATTAGTCTTTCTTTTAGTCCACTCCTTTTAAATATTTTATTTTTCCCACAGATTGCAAAATTTTCTGAGCCTAGAGATAAATGCACCCCCATTTTTGATCAACATAGTTATGGATTGGCTATCTGTTTCTTTCTCCTTATTATACTCTTTTAAAAAACAGCTACCCTTGAGAAATGGCAGAAGCAGTTTTCCGTGCCCCAAAGCGGAAAAGAAGAGTGTATGAGAGTTATGAATCTCCACTGCCCATCCCTTTTGGTCAGGACTGTGGGCCTAAGCAAGACTTCAAAGTGTTCACAGCAGAGATGATAAACAACAATGTAATTGTGAGGAACGCAGAAGATATGGAGCAGCTCTATGGGAAAGTAAGTGCTGGTGGCTTTGGCATGGCTACTTCTGACAGAACTGAGCCAGCTATCCTTTTTGCTTCCCCCC